AGGCCGCCTGGCGCCGCCCAGGAGCAAGGGGCCTCGCGATTGCTTTCTTCATGGATGTAGCTCCCTGGCGGAAGCGAACGAGAATCATGTTTGTGCGTCTCGGTTTGAGTGTTGCTGCGCGCGTGCGTCATAGTGCAAAGAACGAGCACAAGTGTGATCGCACGGGTAGAAAGCATGTAGTGTTGCACGGAAAGGGCCCCGACGGTCGATGGCTCACCAAGACGGCAGAGCCTTGCCCGCGCCCGGTGTGCAGGCGGCTCGTCAGCTAGCAGCGTGCTTGTATGATTTCTCGTGCCGTGTGGAGTCTAAGCAAGAGAGTGGTTTGATCGGCGTGCCATTGCAAGACTTTGGGATTGTCTCAGCTTGGAGTTGACTGTGTATGAGTTCATCATGTCTGTCTTTGTGCGCAAGTGTCTCTCTGCTAGCGAGTAGCTTTTCCACTCACACACAGATTGGCCCTCTGCGAGGGGTGGCCACGGCGTGAGGAAAGGTGGCGAGAGATCTGTCTGCACTTGTACATTGATCTTGGCCCCTCCCCGAACGAAGTTGGCCGAGTCTTGTTGTGTTTATCCGCAACTGTCTTCGCTCAAGCTCCCACCCTTTTTCCTGTGTCTGCTCTGTGTTGCCCTTCAGGCCCGCCCAGGCTTCGACTCGACAGTGGAGTTGACCGTGTATGAATTCATCCTGTCTGTCGTTGTGCGCAAGTGTCTCTCTGCTAGCGAGTAGCCTTTCCACTTACACACAGATTAACTTTTTGCGAGGGGTGGCCACGGCGTGGGGAAAGGTGGCGATACATGTATATATATATATATATATACACACATATATATATATATATATATATATATATATATATATATATCGGAGTAGGCCGGGGGAGGGCCCAGAACTGCTGCCTCTGGTTCGCATGGTGGGCCGCGGGGGCCGGGGGGGCACCAAGGGGGTTCAGAAGGGGCCCTGGGCCCCCATAGAGGCTCCCAAGCTGGTCCTAGAGTCGCCCAAAGCGCCCCAGATTGTGTGGAAGGGCTGACGAGCGCACTGAGATGGCTTCTGGACGGGCCACGAGCGCTCGAAGACAGCCCAAGACTGCTCCTACACGGCCACAAAGGCAGCCAAGACGGTCCAAGAGGCCGCCGAGAAGGCCTTCCAAGGGCGAAAATCAAGCATTTCCCATGGGACAGCGCATGTGTCTTGGATATTTGCTTTTCAGTCCTACCAGCGGCCGCGACGGCCCCAGAGGCTCCCAAAATGAGCTCCAGACGGCCCAAGAGGCCCCCAAGAGTGCCCCCAGACGGTCTGAAGAGAACTTCAAGCAGCACAAGAGAGCCCCAACACGGCCGAAGAGAGCCCCAAGGAACCCCGATGGGGGCCACCGGAGGATCCCTACATGGTCGGAGAGGGCCCCCCGAGGGCTCCAAGACGGGCTCAGGTCCGCATGACGGGCGAAGAGGGACCCAGAACGGCCGAACTAGGCTCCCTGAGGGAGAGAAAAAAAAGCTTACCAGGACTCCCTGAAGACGGTCCAGGAGGCCGCTGAGAAGGCTCCCGGGTGCAAAAAACGAGCACTTCCCAATTAAAAACGCACATTTCTACGATAGTCGCTTCTTATGTTCCATCGGCGGCCACGTCGGCACCAAAGGCTCCCCAAATCGGCGCCACACGGTCCACGAGGCCCCCAAGAGAGTTCCAAAACAGCCTCAAGAGAGCGTCGAGCAGCACAAGAGAACTCCAAAACAGCCCGAGAGAGTCCCCATGGGGCCCCGAGGGAGCCACAGGAGGATCCCTACATGGTCGGAGAGGGCTCCATGAGGGTCCCCAGGCGGCTCAGCTACCCATGACATGCCAAGAGGGGCTTGGGACAGCCGAAATGGGTTCCCAGACGGGCCACAAAAGGCCCAAAATGACCCCCCCACGACTGTCCAAGAGGCCGCTGAGAAGGCCCTCCAAAGGCACAGATCAAGCATTTCCGATGGAAAAACGTATATTTCTGGGAGCTTCGTTTTTTACTTCTACCTGCGATCGCGACGGCCCAAGAGGTTACCAAAATGGGCCCCAGACGGCCCCAGAGGCCCCAAAGAGGGTTCCAAGATGGGCTGAAGAGAGCTTCAAGGAGCACAGAAGAGCTACAAGACGGCCCAAGAGAGCCCCCACGAAGCCCGAGGGGGCCACCAGAGGATTCCTACATGGTCAGAGGGGGCCCCAGGAGGGCCCCAAGACGGGCTGAGCTCCCCACGACGAGCCAAGAGGGACCCGGAACGGCCGAAATGGGCCCTCAGACGGGCCAACAAAGGCCCCTAAGGACTCCAAAGGAAGGCCCAGAGAAGCTCCAGAGACTGCCACAATGCTTCCAAAAAGGCTCCCGGCACGCGTTCCAGTAGGCACCCGTGTACTGGGTGCTTTGAGAGAAGAGAGAAGGAGGAGGACAAGGAGGAGGAGGAGGAGGAGGAGGAGGAGGAGGAGCAGGAGGAGGAGGAGCAGGAGGAGGAGGAGGAGGAGTAGGAGGAGGGGGAGGAAGATCAGGAGGACGAAGAAGGGGAAGAGGAGGGGGAAGAGGAGGAGGGCCATTGTTCTTGAAAGATTAGCTTGTTCTCTGATTCTCTGGCTCGGGGAGGGATGCTGAGGACAAGGAGGGAAGGGGAGCGCAGGATGAAGAGGGCTCGAGACGAGGAAGGAGGTGATTTAGGTGAAGGAACACAAGGAGGGACACACCGAAGAGCGGGGAAGACAGGGAGGAGGAGGAGGAGGAGAAGGAGGAGGAAGAAGAGGAGGAGGAGGTGAAGGAACAGGGATCCCTTTCAGGGAGACGCCGACGAGGAAAATAATGAGTATAAGATGATGGGAAGAGAGAGAACGGGAAGAGGAGGAGGGTAAGAGGACTGCAGTAGACCGGGGATGGTGACGGCGATGACGTTGATGATGACGATGATTATGCCGACGACGACGCCGACGAAGAGCAACAATATGTTGATGATGTGGATGGTGATGCTGAAAAGTACGATGACGATGATGGCGATGGTGATCACGATGCTGATGATAATGGTGATAATGATGATTGTTGTGATGGTGATGGTGACCATGACGATGACGATGAAGGTGACGGGGATGAGGATGTCAATGATGACGATGGTCATGACCCTAGCTAGAAATTGAGCGCGCGTGAAGCGCGCGATGTTTATAGTGTAAATATACACATGCGCATACATTTACATAAACACATACACATGTGCATGTGTGTACATACACGTAGGTCGCATGGCACCCGCTGTTCGCTGGAACATTGATGCATTATTGAGCCGACCGTGTCGGATCCATTTGTTGTTGCGATCAGGTTGGTTGCACAAACAAACGTCATGCCCGATAAGCCCAGCATTGGCAGGGTATTATGTGAAAGGCCAGCGAAGAAGTGTCTGCTTTGTGCGTTGGTGGCCTGCGAGGTTATACGAGAGGTGACGGATTTATCATTCGTTGCAGTGAAGTTATTGCATCTAGCGCTTCCCGAAGAGTGGTTGTGGCCTCTGTCCAAGCGACAGTATTGTGAGCGCCGCTGCGTGTCAGAGGCAAAAGATGCGATCTGGTTGATGCGTTTCTTGGGTCGCTTACAGAGCGTAACGCCCTTCTGCGTGTGATCGTGGAGAGGCTTTCGATCGAGCATCATGTCACGCACATCTCACACGCAGCGTACTTCAGGCCTACATGTGCATTGTAGTCGTGCCAGGCATCGCAGGCGGATGGACCATCCCTGAAGGTTCATTCCAAAAGATTGTAAGAGGTGACACGTCAAGGAAGAGGGAGTTACGAATCCACGGGTGGACGCTCCCGTCATCCCGTCAACTGTACGAAGAGCCTCGACATTGCAAGCTGAGGTATTCCCTCCCAGTGGCGAGGTGTCAAAAGTATTGTCAGAGTCATGGAGGTCCGCCCACGCGAGTCCATTCAAATCGCCCGCGATGTCTGATTCGGGGAATCACTCCGTTCATCGTCCTCTTCTCTTTCTGGCCAGGGAGGTGGCGGTGAGGCCTGGCCAGGAGAGAGGCGTAGCGTCGTGGGGGCCCACGGAGATGCCGCTCGGGACTGCGACTGGTGAGGGAAACAGCGCTTTCAGCGATCAGCCGCAAGCTCGCGGCTCAGATATCTCAAGCAGTGGCGAAGCGTCTTGGCTCGCCTATAGGCCTGCCGAATAATGTTGTACAAACCTTTTTGGTTTGCACGAAATGTTCTTAGAACATGTCTGGCTGAGTCTCTCTTGTTTAACACATCGGGCTTATGTTCTAAGAACATTGCTCTGTTCTAAGAACATGTCGTGGTAGGCTTAGAGAAATGCTGGGACGGCTTGTCCCTGCTAAAATATCAGGGGGCCGCGTTAGGCCGGTGCGCCTGTGGGATTGGGATTCGTTCGGGTTGCGACGAGTTCCTTCGCAACGGGCGCTTCTGTTTTTGGGACTGACATTGGCTGGGTGCTTGCGGATCGTGTGATGATTCATCGTGGTTGTTGTGCTTGATTGCATGGTGTGATCCGCAATTCGGGGAGGCAAGTTTGATGGCCAGGCGATTGGGCAATCGGAAAGGCTATCGGTCAGATCGCGCAAATGGATGATGGATTGGATCGGGCGCTTAGCAGCGCGATTGGGGGAATCGAGTGGGGACCAGGCGATCGGCCACAAAATGCCAAAGGCTGCATTTTCCACCGCCATTACACACGATCTTAGTATTCGCAGCGTTGGGGAATCATGGTGCGGGGCGGAACGGGAAGCAATATATTCGGATAATTTATGGAATATGGAATCGAACGGAGGGTCAGAGGAGACCAGCAAGGAAATGAGATGGTATGGAAGCGAGGTGGCAGAGAGATAAGGCATACACGAAGGTCAGCAAGCCGCCAAAATGAAGACTCGAAGAACCGAAGGTCGAGAGTGATTACAAGGTTGGGAGTGGCGACGGGAGAAAGTATACATTCGGACGGGAACGGAGAGTTTTGATGTGGCGACCGCGCACCAGCCGAGGTTAAGCGAGAGCAACTTGGATTGGGACGCGCTCGTGCTCGTTGGATTTGGTAAAGGTGGTGGCATTGCACTAAACGCCCTCGTGAACAAGTTGCTCCCCAAACCGGTTGCTGGCATCATCTTGTTCAGTCCAATTGTAGTTTTTCCTCATCGACGACGCATGCGGCAAGTCACCGCCCCCCTCCTGCCTTTTGGAAAAGCCCATGCGGCCAAATTGTGGTTCGAAATCTGGCCAAGCTAAAAGACCATGTGTTCTTCCAATTGTTGTGGAACCCCTTTGGGGGGAACACTTGGGAGAGAAAGAGAGTAGAGGGAGGAGAAGGAGGACGAGGAGGAGGACGAGAAGGAGAATGAGCAAGAAATGAAGCCTCTTGGGGCCCTCTTGGGGCCTCCTGGGGACTACATGGGAGCCTCTTGGGGGCCCCTGAGGAGCCTCTCAGGGGGCCTGTAGGGCCGTCTTTGAAGTCAACGGGGCCGTCTTGGGGCCGTCGTTGGGGCCACTTGGACAATCTTGGGGTCCTCTTGGGCTTTCTTGCAGCGTCGGAAGCCCGAAAAGGTGATAACGTTAAAACCATTTTTCAAAAACTTGAAGCAAGTGGCGTCGGCTTCCCTGAGGTCCTCTTGGAACTCTCTTGGGGCGTCTTGGGGGCCTCTTGGGCCGTCTAGAGGACATCGGGCTGTCGAGGGGCCATTTAAGGCCGTCGTAGCGACATCTTGGGGCCATCTTGGGCGCTCTCGGATTCATATGAACCGTCTTGGAGGCCATTTTGTTGTGTTGGGCGCCATCCTTGGGCCGTCTTGAGCGAGAGAACCGATGGATCGAACATTGTCCCAGAATTTCTGGGCGTTCCAGGTGGCCAGCTGGCTTGGCCAGAGGTTTGTCGGAATGTTGCGGAAGGGCCAACGCAGCCCAACGTCCAGTACGCCAGGAACCCTTGGCGGCGGGTCGAAGACGCCTACGGCGAATCACCGCCGCCCCCTGTCTTTTTGTACACTACCATGCATGCCGCCAAACGTTGGGCCGAAGTCTGGCCAAGCTATTGGACTATGTGTTCCCCAAGCCGTTGTCCAGCCCCTCAGGGGAACATTTGGGAGAGGAAGAGAAAGGACGAAGAGAATCAGGAAGAGGAAGAGGAGGCCTCTTTGGGCTTGAGGCCCTCTTGGGCCTCCTGGGGGCTTCCTGGGAGCCTTTTTGGGGGGCTCGAAGAGGCCTCTTGGTGACCTCCTGGGCCTCTTGGGGATCTCTTGGGTCCTCTTGGGGACCTCTTTGGGGCCCCAGAGGGCATCTATGGATCCTCTCTGGGGCCGTCTAGGGGCCCTCTCTGGGCAGTCTTGGGTACCCTATCTGGCGCTTAAGGGCCGTCTTGTAGGTGGGGGCGTCTTTGGGGCCTCTTGGGCCGTCTTGGGGCCTTCTTGGGCCGTCTTGCGGGCCTCTTGGGAGCCTCTTGGGGCGATCTTGGGGGCCACCGAGCCCGTCTCAGAGCGTCGGGAGCCCGAAGAAGCGAGAACATTAAAATCATTGAAAACCCCAACGGAAATTAATGATTTGGGGCTCCTGGAGGCCCTCTTGGAGCTCTCTTGGGGCGACTTAGGGGCCTCTTGGGCCGTCTGGAGGGCATCTTGTGCCGTCTTGGGGCCATCTTGGCAGTCTTGGAGGCGTCTCGGGAAAGTTTTGGAGACCATTTGGGCCGTCTCGGAGGCATCTTAACGGCCATCTTGGGTCATCTGCCTGGCCGTGGTGGGACGATTCGTTGTGCATGTTGAGCTCTTTGCGCGGGCGGCTCTCCGGGTGGCCGGCGGGTTGGGCCGAAGGCCCACTGAGAATCTCTCGGAACAGAAAAAACATCTAACATCTGGCGTGCCGTGCACCCTTGTGGCAAGCCACAAGAGGCGGCGGACCTCTGTGGCTAATCGTTGGGCCCCCGCTTGGCCAACCTATCGGACTATGTATTCCCCCAGCCGCTCTGGAAGCTCATCGGGGAGCATTTGGGGGAGGGTAAGAGTGCGGATCAGGAGAGGTAGGAGGAGGAGGAGGAGGAGGAGGAGGAGGAGGAGGAGGAGGAGGCCTCTTGGGGCGCTCATGGGGCCTCTTGGAAGCTTCCTGGGGACCTCTTGGAGGCTTCTTAGGGTCCTCCTTGGGCCTCTTGAGGGCCTTTGGGGGCTCCTTGAGGACCGTCTGAGGGCGTTCCTGGCCCCTCTGGTGTCGTCGGACGCCGTCCTGGGGGCCACTCTGGGCCGTCTTGGGTCCCTCCTTGGGGCGTTTCAGGACCTTCTTGGAGGTCATCTTGCGCGCCTTGGAGGCCTTTTGGGGCTGTCTTGGGGGCCCTTTGGCCCGTGCGGAGGCCACCGTGAAGGGCACTCGGGAGCTCTGCGGGCGATCTTGGGGGCCGTTTGGGGACGTCGGAAGGCCGAAAAGAAGCAAATGCTCAAATCCTTCAAACACTTATGTAAAACCATTGTTTTGGGCCTCTTGGGGGGGATCTTGGGACGTCTTGGTGGCCTCTTGAGGAATATTAAGGCTATTCGGGCATTCTTGGGTCCATCCTGGATTCTCTTCAGCCCCACTTGGCCGTTGTGGAGGCATGTTGGGACCGCCTTGGAAGCGATCTTGGGTCATCTTGGCCGTCTTGAAGACCATCTTGGCCGTCTTGGAGGCGATCGGGCTAATGGAGTTGGGTTTTCTGTAAATTCGGGGTGGCCGGTGGGTTGGGCCGAAGCCCCAGTAGGAGTCCTTCAGAATAGTACCAAAACCCCAGACGTGCACGTTTGCATTTTTGTGGCAAGGCACCGGGAGCGGCGCATCCAGTGGCCGTCGGCCCATTCTGCCAGTTTTCCGTTCCTGGGGCAAGTTCGGATCCCCCCCCCCATTCCAGGGCCGAAGCAGATATCGAACAAACGGAGACATGTGTTGCAAAGATTTTTGACTTCGGGAAAGGTCGAGCGCGCAAGAGTGCCCTGGCCCTTCACACTGCAGTGACAGCACTCAACGCAAAGAACCCGGAGGGACCTGAGGGCATTCCACGCAATGCCCAGCGGCATGGTGGCGGATTTCTGTCGCGGCGGCAAGCCAAAGCAAGGCCAGGAAGACCAGGCCAAGCTGTTCACGTTCTGGGGCAGCAAGAATATGAGAGGCTCCGCCCACGCCGCAGCAGCTCTGCGTACCATTCTACACGGGGATCGGTCACAGTGCGTGCCAGACAAGGAGCCGCCAGAAAGTGTTCGTAGCGACGCATAATCACAGATCGGGCCGTTGCACGGCCAGTGTGGTATCGCGGCCATCTTAGCGCCGTCTTGTAGCGCTTGTGGGACTGTTTTGGAGTTAAAGTTGAGCTGATGAAGGGGTTCTTAGGGGTTGTCTTGAAAACTTCCGTAGCCTCACCTTCGCTTAGCCCAGTGGGGGACGCTGGCAGTCGCTAGTGAGGTCCGTGAGAAATTCTGGTGGGGGGCACTTGGGGGGGTTCCGAGACACGCTCCTTGGCGGGATTCTCTTGGATGGTGTTGCTTGGGCTACCTCGCGACGTTGTGATGGTTTCGAGAAGCCGGTTCAGGCCGAAGTCAGCAGGAAACACAATACCATTGTCGTATGCATGTTTCAAACGATGACGATGACAAGAATATTGACATCTCGGGGCGGTTACCGTGGGCCCTGTCGACGCCGCCCGCAGTCGTATTGCGCCGTCTTGGGGTCTGTTGGACATTAGCGGCGCTGACCAAGGGCCGTCGTACAGCAACAGCTTGGCCATTGTAGGGAAGAAAGCACGAGCGATTTTGGAGGACCTTGTGACATTGAGAATACAGGTGGCAGTTTGCCCGTTGATCTGATCAGGCGGAGAACCTCCCACCCACTACGCCTTTTTGGCCCTAGGGCCAGCGGACCCGTCGACGCCGGACAGCTACTGCAACTTATTGGCGCAGAAGTTAGAGAGCTTTCAGGAAGCCGCCGCCGTCACGGTTGCTACTTTTCTCCGGCCTCCGTGCTACTGCTTTGCATCGTCTTCATTGTCCCTATGCTGACCATCCCTTCCTGCTGCTCGCTCTTCCCAGCCTATTGCGTTTCGAACGTGACCTTTCTGATGCTCCTACGATGACTTCATGACATGTGGGTAGCAGCCCAAATACGCACCAAAGCGAGTCCTAGGAAATACAAGCAAGCCGGGTGCGAGCAGCAGGGTGGCGCACCAACGGCGAGCAACAGGGTGGCGCACAGCAGCCCCACATACACAAGGTGCCTCCGATGCCAGAATCATGCCGGTAATCACCCTGAGCCGGGGGGATTCCCTGCCAGCAGCGACGAAGATCGCGTGCCGTAGCCGGCTGCCCCTCGAGGCCGGCCGGGCGCGCCGCAGTCCCCACGGCCCAGGGTGGGAAGGGGGGGGGGGGGGGAAGAGGAGGAGGTGGAGGAGGAGGAAGAGGAATGGAGGCGGGGAAACCGTGGAGGCGCATTCGGACAGAGGGAGCGGGTCACCTTCCCCCCGCTGTCCCCACTCCCGCCGGCCTCTCGAGCCGCGCCGCCGGCTCGTGCCCTCGTCACTGGCAGGAAGCGATTTGGTGCACCCACGGAGCGCGGTGCGCCGCAGACCAGGAGCACGGCCAGCAGCCAGGGAGGCAGCACGTTAGAGCAGGCAGGCCGCATTCAGCACGGCTGCGAGCATTGGGCATCTCGCTTCTCGGTCCTCCCCATCTCTCTCTCTCTCTCTCTCTCTCTCTCTCTTCTCCCCGTCCTCCTCTTCCTTATCGACTTGATCTAGCATGGTGGAGTCCCCTTTCCATCCGTTGGGAAGCTGGCAATTTCCATCATGGGGCCGTCATGTTACACATGATGTTGGATAAAAAACGAATCATCATTTTTTAGGGCTCTAGGGCTATGGGGCTGTAGGGTTATATGGCTAGAAGGCTAGCTATTAGACTATAGGGCTATAGGGCCATTAGGGCTATAGGGCAATAGGGCGATAGAGCACCCGGGCACCTGGGCAACCCCTGGCACCTCCGGGCACCCAGAGGCACCTCCGGGCACCCCCGCCGGGCACCAGGGCAACCCCGGGCACCCAGGCACCAGGGCACCCGGGCACCCGGGCACCCGGGCCGGCCACCGAAATCGGCGACGAATACCTCACCTATAGCCATATAATACCGGAGAAAAACCCAATCATTGTGCTATAGGGATATAAGGCTGTAAGGCTATAGGTCTATAGGGCTATAGGGCTATAGAGCTACAGGGCTACAGGGCTGCTATAGGTCTATAGGACCATAGGGCTATACGGCTATTGGGCTATATAGGACTATAGGGCTATAGGGCTATTAGGCTTATAGGCTATAGGGCTAAAGGGCGAGAGAGCACCCTGGCACACGGGCACCCCCCGGCACCTCCGGGCACGCCCGGGCACCTCCGGGCACTCCCGGGCACCCGGGCACCCGGGCGCCCCAGGGCACCAGGGCACGCGGGCACCCGGGCACCCAGGCCTGCCACCGAAATCGGCGACGAACCTCACTTAACCATTTGAATCCGCTAGGACCCCTACAGAGGCGCAAGCTCTAATTGGGGAATGAATCCGCCAGGACCCCTAGAGAGGCAAGCTCTGACTGGGGAAAAACAAGACGGCGGCGAGCCACACGACAGCGGACCCTGCTAAAGCGACCCGCGTCACAAATGTCCTATTCTAGACGCTTCGCGTAACCCCACCAACCGAAGCCCCCTCAAGCGTCGGGGGCGCCGCAGCTCTCGCCGACTTGGCCCTCTCTCGCGTGCACGCTTTCGGTCGCACCTCCACCTCGCTTTTTCTCCCCCCCCTCCGCCTTCGCCCGTCCTCTCTGATGAGGGTCGTACGTGCAGCCCGTCTGCGGCTCGAGTCTATCACTGGTGCTCTGGACCATGTCAGTACTCAGGGTCGCGACGCGGCCCGTCATGGATCGCAGCGCTTGCTTCCTGGACAACAACGATCTGGGTCAGCTGGGCGCAGCCTCCACCTCCTTGTACAAGGTGGTTTCCATTGCGCTGACCCTGTGGGCCATCTGGGACCCCGCTGTGCCTGGTGGAGCTCGATGGGTTGGCAGTCCCATGGTCCTCAACCGGCCCTTTGCCTCGAGCAGCGACTTTGAGCTCGTGGACTGAGGCCACCGGGGGCAAAACCCCATGGTCGAAGTTCTCTATATGGATGCTCCTGGCATTGGCATTTGTAAGTTTCACCGCAGCGCTCGGCTTCGGCCACAATGCCCCGTGCTACTTCCTTCGGGTCAGAGGTGCACCAATACCCATGCGCCGCGAACTAGACAGCCCACGCTGATCTCGTGGATCCACCCTAGACGGAGTGCCCGGTGGCTGAAATAGTCCACCCCCTGCGTCCCACCCCTTCTGGCACCGAGGACGGCAAAGACTGGGTAACCTACTGCCGCACCGCCAGCCCATAGATCTGGCCACCCCACGGGACAGGGGGCCGTCAGTACCGCCCCTCAGGGGCACCCACTTTGGACGACAGGGACTGGTGGCTGAAACAACCCACCTCCAGCGCTCCACCATTCAATAGCATATGGTACGACAGCAGGTGGGGGTCGCCTACCGTGTCCAGCGGCCTCTGGCTTCCCCCCTGCATCTCACCATTCAAGGTCTCTGCGGCTCTTGGCTGCGCCCCTCTCCGACACGTCCGTGCGGCTCTTGGCTGCGTCCCCCCATTCTGATCGCCGAGGTCGATCCGGCCGCCGCGACGGCGACTGGGCTTACACCCAGCGCCGGGATGGATTCGCTCCCCCCTCCTCCTCCCCCTTCCCCCGCTCTTCATTCACCAGTTTCTGCGGCTCTTGGCTGCGCCCCCATCGAAGTGCGCCTTGGTTGAGGATGTGCCAGTGCCTTGGCCCGGTCCAAGCGTGGAGGCCCAGGGCACTGCGGTCGTGCCAACGGCACTAGGTTGCACCCCCCACGTTCATTCACAAGTCTTTGAGGCTCTTGGCTGCGCCCCCAGCTCTGTGAAGGGACATCATGATAGGGGAGCTGGCAGTTTCAGCCACCCCCGCGGGTCACACACTCGCCCGGAATCTGGCTTCCATCCGTGCCAGCGGACAGGTGGGTGCTCATCTCGGCGCACAAGGCCTGCTTGCGCCAGACACCACAGCGGTGATCCCCCCAGACTCTCTGGACGGATATGATGTGGTGCATCGGCTGGTCACAAGCTGATCACGCTGTCGTGAGGACGCGTGGGAGTGGTATCAACCCCTTGCCTTGGTCACCGCCACCGCGGCTAGCAGTGCCACCCCCACCTGCGGGTCGCCCTGGTCCACATGGTACGCCTCAGGGCGCTACACGGGCTTGGCTTCGCGTAAGGTGAAGACTGGCGCACCTTACCCGCTTCTGGTACTACCCGACGTCGGGCTTGGCAAGGGCGTGTTCCTGCACATGTGGTTCATCCTTTGGCAGGTCATCGCGGTTCCCCCGGCTGGCCCTTCGTGCAGGTGCCTCGGTCAGCGCTTGCATTTTTGTGCCCCCGATTTCCCGTGTCGGATAAGTTGCACGCTGTAGACACAGGCGGGAATTGACGCTACGTTCGCTGACTGGGTATCTTTCGCTTTCGCGTTCAAGAGCGGCAGACCCGACGTCTGCCACAGTGAGTCACCGCGAGTGAGGCCCCCCCTGTGCCGTTCCACTTTTTCCTGCCGTTGGGTGCCCGTCTGGCGTCCGCTGCGTCTCTCCTGTTCCCTCTTGCCTCGCCTTCCTTGTGTCTCGGCCGGAGTTTCGTCCCGTCTAGGCCGCCCCGTGCTGCTACAGTTCGGTCCGTGCTCCGTGCCTTTTCTTGGTGTGTGGTCCGGCTGGAGTTTGGCGCCGTAAGGGCGGCTGCTCCTGTCCGTCCGCCGCCGGTGCCGCGCGCGTCCCCATCCGCTGGGATGCCTGCGACGGTCTCCCAATGAGGGTCACTTTGTCCCTGGCAGGTGCACTCGCTACGGCGGCCTACGTGCCTCTGCAGCCAATTATCTCGCTCTGTGGTCCAGTCGTTCATCCCGTTCCCTAGATCTGTCCTTCGAGCCGTCCAACCAAAAAAAGTAACCCCACCAGCCCATTCCGAAACGGCGCCCAGGCGAGTTGCAGTGGAATGCCGGACTGCTGGGGAAGCCGTCGTACCCTGAGAGGGGGGGGGAGGCTGGAGGAGGAATCGTCGTTGTCGCCGCCGTCGTTGTCGGAGGAGGGAGGGCGGGGAGGGGGAGGGAGAGATGGAAAAGGGAGAAGGGAGGAGGAGGAATAGGCTCAGGAGGGGGAGGGCAAGCATGAAGGCCAGAGGCCTATTGGATGCCTGGATGACTTTCGGAGTCTCTTCGGATGTCCCTTGGAAGCTGCAGTCCTCTTGGGGCGTCTTGGGGGCCTCTTGGGCGTATTGGATGCCTCGGGAAAGTTTCTTGGGGCCTCTTTGGGGTCTCCTGGGGGCCTCTTGGGGACCTCTTGGGGGCCTCTTGGGGCCTCCTGGGCGGCTCCTCTTGGGGCCCTCTTGGGGCACTCTTGGGAGCCTTGGGGAACATCCTGGGGCCATGTTGGAGGAGATCGCAGGCCCCCCCCAGGAAGCCAAAATGGGCCTAAGACCAAAGCAACATCAATGAGTTGTGCCTTCTGGCTGATGCCTTGTTGGACGCTCGAATGGGTCGCGAACCCCCCCGTCCAGGTCCAGGGGATGGGATGGGGGGAGGGGTGTACCCCTCCCCGATCGAGAAGAAGGGGGGTGGAAGAGGAAACGCCCTAAACCACTCACGCCCTAAAGCGCAGATGGGATTTGCTGGAAGCCTCGCTGGCTGAGGGCCACTGGAGCGTCGCCCAGCCAAAGCGAGAGAGAGGGAGAGAGAGAGGAGGAAGCAAACACACGCGCAGCTGAAACATTGGGAGCAAGGCCCAGACAGGATTGGCACAGAAGCTTTGGAGTTGCAGTACACCCGGTGTGCGCATGAAGGACATAAGCGCAGGGCGGGGGTCAAATTAACAAGAAATCGACCAGCCGAAAGAGCCATGAGCATCAGCGCAGTGCAATTCGGCGGAAGCGCTCCAATACATCGTCCAAAGTGTACTTCCTGACAGCGCGAGTTGATTCATGGCGTCGCCGACCGTGACGTGACCTGAAAAGGTGCACCCGCGTTTCCCCCGAGCAGCCACCCAGCAGATCCACTGCCAAGCCATGCCCCCCGCAGCCAGCCCGCAGACCGCGGGAGGCAAGCGCAGAGAAGCAGCGGCCAGCAAAGGGTCTGGGCGAGAGGCGCAGGGCTGACCACCGTGTGCGCTCCAGGCAGCCCATGGCCGGCCGCGGAAAGCCCAGACGGTGACCGTCGTTGAGGCCGCGCCTTCGGCGACAGAGGGCGACGGCGCCGCCGTGCCGGCAGCCTCTTCGGGGTCGGCTCCGCCGCGGTCTCCAGAGCAGGCCTCGTCAGCCGAACCAACTAGCAGACGTGAGCGCGAGCCGACGGGAGCGCCGCCCAGGCAGCGGCGACGAGCCCACGCTCCGCAGCTCGGGGGGCATCGTCGCCATCGTCACCCGTCGGCGCTGAAGGCCCGAACGCTCCTGGCTTCTCTACCAGCAGGCATGCGGCGGGGGCCCTCGTCGCCACGGCTGGGCGCAGCTCGCAAGGCTCTTGCGTTTGGGCTCCAGGCGGGGTCCGGGGAAGGGTTTTGATGCCCGTTGTCTCAACTCGGCCCTGCTTCGAGCTGCGGCAATGCGCCAGCGCGCCAATCGTCTGGGCGTTAGTGGCGGGGAGCCGCCGAGGGCCGACCCTGGTCTCCTTCCTGGATTTGCCATCGCTGGTCCTACGGCGTCTCGGTTCCCCGAGGCAGAAAACATGCATAAACATACCCCGAGTTCCTTGATAAGCGTCGGGGGGGCGTCACCCCCGCCGACAGCCCCACATCGACCCCCGTCGCGGGCAGCCACCACGCGCCGAAGGCGTTCCGACCCCCGTCGCCGCGTGACGAGGCGAGGTTGACCCCAGTCGGGGAGGTACCCCCCCCACGCTTACTCCGTGCGGATGTCCTGGATCGGCGCTGGGCCCCCCCTGACGGCGCCTCCGGTGCCGCCCCTTGGCGCTCTCGGCGCGCGTCACGGAGGAGGTCCCAGTTCCGATGCCCAGAAAACCCGCGCGGAATTCCGAAGGTTTCTGTTTAAGCCTTGTTTGACTTAGCTTTCCGCTAGCGTAGTTATTCTGCCTAAACGCCGACACAAAAAAAAACATGTTCTTGAACGGTTTGGCTGAAGCGTTTAGTCATAGTGATGTCTGCAGTTTTTACCACCATCGGAAATCGCCCATTTCACTCTGCTCTCCTCTCCCTCCTTTTCCATAGCCTGTCTCCGGCTAGAACGGACAACGCGCCACATGCACGCCCCCCCGTTTGGCGGCGCGCCAGCCAGCTTGAGGCGCGCTTGGGAACCACTCTCCTCCGACCTCGCCCGCGCCATGCCCCACGGCGCCTTCGGCGGCCGTGGCCGCGGCAGCCCTGCCCCAGGGGACCGCGGGTCCGTGTCGGGTGCCGGCGCGCATGGCCTTTGGACCAGCCGCTGGAGCGAGGAGGGGACGCCGCTCTGCCTCGAGATCAGGCGGGCTGGCCCGCGCCCGGCGTCCATCGGGCTGAACGAGACCCAGCTCGACTGGCTCGTGGGGCTGGCGGGCCAGGCGACCCTCGCCGCCCGCAGCGGCCTCGAGGGCGGCCGTGAGCGCAGCACCGACGATGGCGCCGACTGCAGCACCCACCTCGGTCGCGGCAGCATCGGCGCCGAGACCGTCACAGGCACCGGCTGAGACGACGTCCGGGGGCGGCGAGTCGACGGACGAGGACGCGACGGTGTACGTGCGCAACTTCTTCGAGACGCCCGTGGACCTGGTCCCAGTGGACGTGGACCTCGACGGTGGCGCCGCGCCGTTGCGGCGCTTCACGGCGTCCTTCAGCTCCACGGACATCGGGGACGTCGTCCTTGGCCACGGCAGCACGGTGCTGCTGGACATTTGGGCCAGCCTTCGCGCCCAGGGCGTCATGGATGGCGCGTTCGTGAACGCGACGCGCTGGGTGCGTGGCGGGACGGCGGGGTCTGGCGAGAATTCGGAGCCAGCCTCGGACGACGAGGCGCCCACGTCCTGGACTTGCCGGGACTGCCTGGCTCCGAATCGCGCGGGGCTCGGGTGCTTCCAGTGCGGCACGGCGAACCCGCCCCTCGTGGGCCTCCCATCCAGGGACGGTTCCTGCTCTCTGGGGTCGGAGCAGAGCGGCCACGACGACGGCCCCACGCCGGTGGACGCCGACGACCTCTTGCCGCTGCCGCCTCCCGCCGAGGACGTGGGTGTCGCGGTGGCCATCGTGGACGCCGCCGGCAATGTGGTCATGGCTGGTGGCGGGGGCGACAGCGGCGACGGCACGGAGGAGGACGCCGACGAAGGGATGGTGTCGCCGACGCGGCTGCACGGCCATCCAGGTGTCCGCGGACGACCTCGCGGCAACCGACGGGGCGGCCCGCGGCGACCCTCCGCGCCCCGCCGACGGGGCGGCCCACGGCGGCCCGCCGCGCCCGGCCTCTGACGGAGCGGCTGGGGCGCCGCCGCCGCCCCCACCGCCTCTGCGCTTGGAGCCCAGGTGGGCCTTCGACACGTTCGTGACGGTGCTCCGCTCCGCGGAGTCGGCCGTTCGCACGGCGTGGATCCAGCGCGTCCTGCCCGATGTGGCCCAGCTCTCGCTCGACCGTCCGGCGCTGGGCGCCCCGCAGCCGCAGCTCCCAGCGGGCCCCTCGGGCGTCAGCCTGGTCACGGCTACCCGCGGCGCGGCGCCCATGCAAGACGACGGCGGGGCCCCGTCGGGGTCTGAGGCGCACGAGGTGGATACGATCCGCAGGGCAGCGGGCGCGCGGCCAGCGACCCGCGGGCCGATGGCAGCGGGGTCGGGAGCCGCGCGGCAAGGGGAGCCGCCAGCCCTTCCGGCGGCGCGCCTCCATGACGGCCCCAGGCCGCGGGGGCGGGCCGACCCGCGGCGAGCAGCAGGCCCCTACGGCGACCCTTCGGGTTTCGCCGACGCCTTCGACTCCGGGCGCGACGGAGCCGGACAGGCCCACCCAGGGAATTGGGCCTCCCCTGGGTGGCACCGCAGCATCGCCCTCGCCTCGCCGTTGCCGCCGTCAGACCACGAGCGCGACCTTTTCCCCGTGCCGCTCGTGGACCTCGCCGGCGGCCGGGCCTGCGGTCGGCGTTCGACACGCCGTCTGCGGCGGCGGCAACGTGAGGCAGAATTGGTGGATCGCGCCCTGTTCGGCTAGAACTGGAGGCGCGGCCGCTTCACCGAGTCTGGGAGCCGCAACCCTAGACAAGCACGCAGCCCTTCAGCATCGACTACTTCGCGCAGCTCATCGGCGTCAAGCCGCAGCTCCGAGGGCGACGCCGACGGCGGAGGCAGCCTTGCGAGAGCTGCTCCAAGGGCAGTCCGTATACGAGACGGACGTCGCCCCGAGGAACCTCGTCTCCTACCGAGCCGGCCTGGTCTCGCTGCCCGATAGCGTTCGTTCATCACTGCCGCTACCTCGAGGACATCGCGAGCATCGAGGGCCGTTCTTTTTTTGGCGGAGAACCATAAGCGCAGGAGGTTGGACCCGTAGACGGTCAATTATGACAGCATGCCGCGGTCGTGCATGGACCCGGCGCTGAATAGAAACCCTAAGGCCCGCCGCTCGTTCGCGCGCGAGCTTGCTGAGCGCGGCCTTCTGCGGGTGACGACTCTGCCCGCCGAGTAAGCAGGCATCTTCTTCGCGGCGAAGTCGAGCGGCCCCCTGCGGATGATCATCGACGCGAGAAGGAGCGACGGCCACTTTCAGGCCCCGCCGGGGGAGCGGCCCCCCAGCAGCGAAGGCTTCGGGCGCGTCGAGGTGCCGCTGCCCGCCGGCGCGCCCCCCTCTTCGTTGGAGGGGCGCCAGCTGCTGGGCGCTTTCACCGCCTACATCGCTGCCACCGACGTGAAGGACCGCTTCTACCGAATGCGAGTGAATGAGGAACTGGGCCGCTTCTTCTGCCTGCTGGGCGCGCCGGCCAGCGCCTTTGACGGGCCGGGCGCGGCTGGCCCCACCCGACGGGAAGGCCGCCGAGGTGGCGAGACCGAACCTGGCGGCCTGGCCCTGCGCAAGATGCAGGCGCGCGACGGCTTCGGGGAGGCGCCGGAAGCTGGGCTGGACGGGGAGAACCTCCGGTCTGGCCTGACCTCGGGCCGGTCTTGGAAGCTTGATCGCGACCTCACCGGACTGCTGGCCCGCCGACGCTGCAGCGGCAGAGCCCTGGAGAAAGTGATAGGCCACTGCACATTCTGCGGCCTGGCCGCGCGCGAGAGACTCTCCATCTTCCACGCGGTCTCTAATCTAAGTTCATCACCAGTCACTACCTAGGAGTGTTCCCTTTGTGGCCTGAGGTCATTCAGGAGCTCGAGGCTTTCCGGGGAGTTGTACTTCTTCTGGGCCGGGAGTGGTGGCCCCCATGGAACCCGTGCGTTTTGGAAACCGACGCCAGTCTCGCCGGCCGGGCCATCGCCCGGGATTTCTGGGACCCGACGACGTAGCCAGGATTGGCCGCGTCTTCGAAGGGGCTCGCTCCGGCGGGTCGGCACCCATTCGGCCCGCGCCTCTGCCCCCGCCTCTGCCCACCACTTCCGGGGCGAGAGCGAGGAGTGGAGGAACCGAGGGCGGCCCTTTTTAAGCCGCCTCGAGCGAGGCCTCGAAGGCGACTGGGAAGTCGTGGCGGATTTTCCTGAGGCCCCCTGGCACCTCCTTCGAAGCCCCGCCTGGAAATCCGCTCGGAAGAGGGCGCGTGGCCTAGGCGAGGGGATTTTGCTTTTAGAGGCCCGGGTCCTGGTAAAGACCATGAAGCGCCCCGCGCCCGGCACGGCTGCTGCGCCAGGCAGCTCGCGCTTTCGGATAACGTGGCGGGTTTTCTCCCGCTCGCGAAGTCACGAATTTCAAACTCCTCGTTCAGACTCGCCGTTTCAGCGCCTGCGCCCCCGCCCTCGGCATCGCCCCAAGTTTTCACTCGATCGCCTTGGAGTTTAACCCGAACGACGCCGGGAGCCGCGATCACTCCAAAGTCTCTTCGAAATTGCTAACCGATGTCTTGGGTCAGCAGCGCGGCTATCGGCCAGTCCTGCCCCGTTTCCTTCCGCGGCCGGTTTGGCTCGAGCAACGATCGAACTCGCCTCGCCCCCGTCGCCGAAGATTCCAGGGGGACGGGCGCGCGCCCTCCGGCTGCGAGCGCCGACGCTTCCTGCGATTGCTCGCCCGAGGACGGAGCCCCGGGCCCGGCCAGCGCTGGGCGCGGGCCCCCCGGGCCAGCCGACGGAATTGCCAGCCGCCGCAGCGAGCTTTCGGGCGGCCCGCTCAGGCCCGCGGCCGACGACTGCTCCGCCGACCCGCCGGGCGCCCCTGACGGCGCTGCCCCACTGCAAGGCCGACGCGAGCGCGCGCGCGGCCTTCGCTTGCGCAGACTTGGCGGGCGCCAGGGCCGCCGGCTGCCCAGTCGGGGCTGCCGCGTAAGGGGCCCCCGGGTCACCGACGCGAGCGGCGTCGCAATGCCGCCCCCGGCCTCCCGCCGCCGCCGAACGCTTCGGGCCCGGAGCGTCTTCGCCCCGTTGGGGGCCGCGGCGATGGCGGAGGCGCGGAGCGCGGAGGCGCGGCTCGTTGCTGCCGGCAATCTGGCCTGTCCGACGAGCCGGCCCAGAAGGCCGGGCCCGGGACGACCCGCTGCTTTATGTTTGCGCCGCCGCGACGCCCCATCCCGGCAGCTGAATTGGGCGGCCGGGCGACGGGGGGCCCCGCCGGAGTCAGGGCGGCTAGTGCTGTCCCCGGCGCTTGCCCCCCCATCGAGTCGCCGATTGCTGGCCCCGTGCAGCAGAGGGGGCGCCTGCGCCCGCCCGCCCGCCCCAGCGGTCGAATCCCCAGGTGGCGGGCCCCGCCGACCTGGGCAGCCGCTGGATCTGCACGGCGCCCTCTCGCTTGCTTGCGCCCCGGCACTGGGCCCGCGGGCCGTCCTGGGGAG